AAATAAATATATATATATATATATATATATATATTTGAATGTAGCAATGTGTTGAAAAATTATTTTGATTTTCTTATCACTTAAATTTTTTTGTAGGAAAAAATTAAGTATATTTTACAATAACGAAATGTGTTACCAAACAGAGATTGTGTTTCCCATCCCAAGCAATAAATTATTTAACATTGCTGCAGAGACCTTGGTGTAAAGTCAGCCAAGTTCAATGTTATTAAATATTACCTGATTAATTTATAAAAGCATAAAATCAGTTATCTCTTATTCTGACAGATATCAAATTCTTTGAACAAAAATGAACTAATATACTGTTTGTGTGTTATTTGGTATTAATTTGTATACAATATCAAATCTGTTGTAACAACTTAGACATAATACATATATCTGGTAAAATATAATTACTTTATGTTTATGTTAAATCTAAAACATCAGTTTTTCCTTATCCTCTTTCCTGTTGAAGAAAGATATTAACAGATGGACAAAATTTTTTTATCAATACATACTATTTCCGATTCTTTTACTAACAGATGTGGACATGTTAGCAAAAAAATATGTCTCTTCACAGTTACATGCAGCAAAGCACAATCATCAATTGTAAAGGAGCAAAGAAAAATTCAGTAGTTTTGCTGACAATGTAAAATAGTGGATGAATTATTTTTAAAGTATTTCCTTTTTTATTCATTATACAGGTAGAAAGAGCTCATAACCTATATGGTTATATAGCATATAAAAACGTGTTATAATTTTTTTTAGTTAACCTTAGATATTTTTAGGAATGAAATGATCTCATTGTAAACAAAATTTAATTACATCACAAAGAAACCCAATTTTACATTAAGTTAGATCATAATTTGAGAAATACTGTTTGTAACTGTAAATAACAAGAATAGTGCTAATTATTGGAGACTGGAAAGAAGAAATAACATTGTAATTACTATTATTAGAAACTTTCCATGACAGCCAGGAAAAGGCAAAATTATATACAGCATAATATCAAACAAAAACTAGTAAAATAAGGTGATAATTAATTCTGAAGGCAAATACAAGACTGATCATCAATTCAGCATGGAAAAAATCTGTAAACTGCTTCAAACTGCATAGAAAAATATAAGGAAGTCAACAAGTTCAAATTTGTTCTTAAAAAGATTTGACATTAAGACTTATCATTTAGAAATCTTTATAAACTTTGAGTATAAAAAATAACTTGTATCCAACACCTTTGTGAAAAAAAACAAAACATATTCATGTATAGACATTTTACATATATAGTTTTATGACAAAATACACATTGTTTGGCTTTAATTAATTTGCATGTAGGTAGGCAGTACAGTGTCATACTGAATAAAAAGAACTGCCAAACATACAATTCTTAACAAATTACACCAGGAATATACCTCATAAAAATTCTATTTTCAAAAATCAATGGTGTGTGTGTGTGTCTATATATATTCAAAATTTGCTGTAATTTTCTCACATTCAACTTCTGTTAAAATTCTAAATTTGATATACAAAGACTTGAAATTTATTGTCATGATTCTATATTACCTTTATACCTATAATCTGATATACTCATTCAAGTGTCTTAGAATAGTGAAATAAAAAAGGTAGTGCAAATGACAGTGATACCTAAAACCAATAGACACATTTACAGTCTCTGTACTGTTATTAATGTGTTGTAATAAGATCTTTAAAAGGCAATTCGTTTATAAAAAAATCTAAATTTGGAGATACAAACATATATTAATATAGAATATACTTTTTTTAATTATTAAGTTTTCCAATAAAAGTGATATTAATATTGTTGTTTTTCTTAAACTGCAAATTGTAACAGAATAATATTTATTTTAAAATACTTTGAAAAATCTGTTAAAATTCCAAGGTCTCAATCATCATAAAAACTCAGATATGCCTATCAATACTGTTCATGTATCTTAGTTACTCTATTGCAAACAAGTTATAAATTATAACTTATTTTACCTCGAAACATATCCATCAAAGGTGGTGTGACTGAATGTTAAACATAAAAAAAGCCCTTGATATCTAGTTTGCTAATTATTTTCCTTTTTCACATGTCAAGCTGCTGTTAGTTACAGTTAATATAATGAGTATGCTATGTAGTTAACAGTCTCACATTGGATAAGAAATATTCGAAATTAAAATAAAAAAATTGGTCGAAGTGAACACAATAAAATAGATTAAAGTATTTCTTAACTTATTGTTTTTATAACAATTTATTAGACATAATATATCCTTCAAAATTTTAACCAACCAGAGAAACAATTATCTAATATAATTCTCCTTTGTTAGTACCATATTCAAACGCAGCATCTCACAAATACACCCTCAATTTTGTACATGATCTAGTATTACTTATAATGAAATATAAATATATTTCATATTATGGGAAAAAAACATCAAAATGAATTTCATTGACAATTTACATGAAGTACTTTAAGTAAGAACTTATAAGAAGACAAAAAAATAATAATAAAAAATAATGTTGACTTCAAAAATCAAAGATGTGAGATTGCTTTCAAAAGAAATGAATAAAAAAATATACAAGGAACATCAAAATACTTATTTCTGAAACATCTATAATTAAACCTGTGATACATGTACATCGAGATCTGTTTGTTCAGATGTTATTTCCATGTCTATAATGGGTTGTGAATTAGATGTCGAAATTGGTGAATGCACCTCAGCAGGATACTCTCCGATGATAGTCTGTTTGGTAAAGTGAGATAAAAATGCTCTCTGGAAGTAATAAAAGAATAAAACATCAATTAGAAATAAGTGACTATATTAGAAAGTGGTAAAAACTTTTTCAAGTTAATCCAATTTTTGGAAAGTTATAATTTGAAACAACACACTGACCATTCTACATTAATTTTTATTTCCTTCCCACTGATAACCATTGAGCAAGCTGAATCTTACATTTACTGAAACAACATGGTTTGCAACTGAATGTAGTGTTCAATGGCTAGGCCAAGGATTTAAGATACAATTCTCTGCAAATTCAAAATACTGCTTTTATTAAAGTACGACTCTCAACTCTAATGATTCTACAGTAGTTCTTGTAAAGTGTAAGCTACTGATATAAGCTGAGTTCTTTTCAGAGTAAATAAAATATGTCAACTAAATCTTAAAATAGAATGTTTTGAAAAAAGTTTTACAGCCTAAGGATGTTTGAGATCCAGTAAAACAGGCGTCCTTAGCATAGCAAATGTATAAAACTTAAGAACATTTAGAAATAATGGTTTGTCATTGGATTTTCTGACTGAAAAGACAAATTCTAATAGAAAACCAATACAACCATTACTAAAAGTTTCAGCACAAGAGATTGTGATCAGCATGTCGCTTGATTATTTTAGAGAAAACAAACATTTTGTTCACTCATTAAACATATCACACACTATTAATTTTCTCAAGAAGCTTACAATACAGAATTTATAAAACCACAAGTTTTTGTTTTCAAAAGTTATGACTATTCAAAACAGGACTGAAAAAAATATATTTTTTTGGCACACGTACTGGAAAAACTGCCTTCAGTTTCAGAATGAGAATTTCATACATAGTTGTCTCCAAACATCAAATTTCAAAATACTAAAATTTTGTTATAAAAATTTAAAATAAGATGTAGTGTTATAAGAAAACTAACACTTAAGAATTAAGCTAAAGAAAGCCCTATGTACGTTTGGAATTCTCTACTGTACTGTTCCTCTTCCACATTCCAAATAACAAAAAGAAAACGATATCAATTTATAAGGACAGAGAAGTGAGGAGAATGTGATGTATGATGATAAAAAATGTTTTAAATTAATCATCTAGAGAGCATAGGAAGTTAACAACATGGTAAAACAATGAAACATGGTTCTTCTAAAAATGAATGATACAACTGAAGACAAACAATCATAACCAGGTTGGCCAGCAATTAACACAAAGAGGAAAAGTTAATCTCACAACAATTATCTTCAAAAAGGGATGGGCCAAAGAAAACCTGATGAATAAGAAATCTATCATTCCACAGTAAAATACCTCACACACGTCACAACTAGTGAAGTAGATCTATTGCATCAAATGCCATAACTATGGTGAGCATAACTAGTAATATACTGCAAGGTCAACATCTTCTAAAATATTATTATAGCTGGCTTTCTTTAAAAACCTGAGCCTGTATATAAAGGCAAAGATAACATTTATAGAAGTATATCACCATATATATTTATACCCTTTTTTGTCTA